CAAGACAGAGGATGTCGATGGCGCCCTCCTGCAGAAGTTCGCAGATTGTATAAGCAACTTTGATTTTTATTGAGCGGACGTTTCAGGAGGGTGGAGTGAACAGCAGGTGGCTGGTGCGTCAGCTGGAGAGAAGGCCTTGTGGTAACGAGGTTGTTGACAATGGCAGATATATTTTGACCTTGGGGCCTGTGGGGAGGCCAAGTGTGGTTGGCAATGTTAAAATATTTCAATAATTTCCTGCAGGTTTTTGTACACCGCATATAAAAAATGGTACGGCCAAGGTGAGATTGCATGAAGAAAATAATGAGATCAATATTGGAAAAAAGGAGTTAAAAAAATAAAGATATGATCTCATCGGGACAATTCGGTAGCGACTGCAGAAGATATTTGGCAAATATTAGCCTCGAGAAATAAATATATAAACAGTGATCGAAATTGAAATGTAGAATTCCCTGAATGAAACCTATTCATCTCGCAGCCCACGTCAAATGCAGTTGAGGTATTCTGCGGAGCGTCAGTCTAGCCCAACGTCATACACCAGACGATTTCGACCACTGGGTATAAACATAAGCGGAGAAATGAATAACCATCTCAGATTTCCTGATGACATCGTTATTGCAGGATAACGCAATAAATATTGATTAATAGTATGGAATTACTGGGTACTTCCCTTTGGTAATATGATTACATAAATCCACACCACTGAGCTTTGGTGGCACATGCCTATAATCTAGCACTTTGGAACACAGAGTTGCTGGATCGTTGCATTGTGTGCAGTCCCTTCCACTGGTCTGCGAGGTAGCCGGGAGGTGGCAGTAAAGCAAACGGATTTGAGATTAGTCTGTGTGGACCTTTCAGTGTTATCCCCTTAGTATGGCATGCATTTTCGCTGGATTCTCCTGATTCTTCACACATGGGAAATAACCCCTTTGACAAGGATGTGGCCAAGCACCCCAATGCAGGCCCTCCCTGCAAAATAACCTTGAGACTCAGTGAAGGTTTGGTTTTTTTTCCTGCAAAATACACTTTTTAAACAATTTCTGCAGGCGAGTGTATCTAAATACCACGACCCCTCCCTGAACAATTCCTCCAGGAATCGCGATTCTCGTGTTAAAATCTCCGTTCACTTCAATGGAATTCGTACAGGAATTATCCCCTGTGGAGTAGCGATCCAGTAATCTTGCAGGCTATGCCACTGAAGCGGGGTCTAGAAGCCACGGTGGCTCAGGCTCCGGACGAGGTGGACAGGGGCTTCCATTTAACTCTGGCTCCACCGGGGCCCCTGGCATCCTCATAATGCCACTGATTATGTCACGCAAAAAGCCATCTCAATAGAAACCCATTAATTTCAATGGATACCTCCAGGTATGATAATAATTTTATCTTGAAATGCCCACTGTATTCGCTAATAGTCAAAGAGAGAGAACAAATCAGAGGTGCGAGTAGGAACCACAGACAATTAAGGAAAGGCAGCCAGGCAGTGAGCCCGTGCCCCCCAAGGTCCGATGGAACAGGCGGAGTCCACATTTGCTGTACCGTCTTCTCTTGGCGAGCTGGAGTATAGCCCCTTGACGCCCACAGGAAGGAATTTTCAAATAATAATTGGCATGATCCACCAACCCTCGCCTCCACAGTACTAGATTACAAGCATGCACCACCAGTGGATTTACTTTTGACGAGAATGGGGATACATTGAGAGCCTAGGATTCGCCCAGAAGGCAATCCTTATTTCAATTCAATGGCATATCCATTGTCCTGGCCAGGCCGCTTGGACCTCCTTCTTCACCTGGACACCACGCTGGAATCGGTGTGGAGTTGGCTCAGTTGCATGCACTAGTCTTCAGCCATATGTATCAATAGCAAATGTGGTTGATCCCGATTGGCTGGAATCTACCCGAATACCAGCCGACCGGTATTGACCCCAAACACCTTTGAAATATTAATATTATTACTACCTAGGCTTCGGCCATACATTTCAATGGCGATTTCACTGGACTGGCCAAGGTCGAACAAGGCCGAGCTTCCAGCCTGAATGCCTATCAAGGCTCTGCTCGCCTATCTCCCCACCTGATTCCATGATCCTGATGATCCCACAATCACATTAGGGGCCATCCATTTAGTACGTACGCATGGATGGGGTGTTCACCCAAATGCGTACGCTTGCGTATGGGGGGTCTACTGACAATGTACGTACGCATAGGAAACGGGGGGAGGGGGGTGGTGAAGCCTCGATAATAATTTGTTTACATTGGCCTTCAAATGAGTTAGATAGTCCGGCAGTGATTTTAACACAGACACACAACATAATCTGCCTTTATTAAAGTTGCACCAGTGTGTCTCTGACATTAACATAACCTCTGCGTGCAATGCCTGTGATTCTCCTTGGACACATGCTCTCTGTATCGGAATTCCATGCAATTATGAGTCATGCATTGGATCTTCTGTGGATTTAGGGAATTAAAATATTTTCGGTACACGGGGTGATCAAAGGTCACCCGGACCTGATGTAGAAAGCAATGCCGTAGCTGGATAAAACATTCCTACTTTTTTCTTCTTTGGTTCTTTCGGTAAAGTCATGTGACTTTACCGAAAGAACCAAAGAAGATGAATCCTTGCAGTCACGAAAGCTTTAAATCGAAATTCCTACTTTTATGTAGCGTTCCCTTGGAGATCACTGCACTTGAGCCATCATTCTTCCGAGGAATAACTTTTCATTTTCGAACCACTCAGTTAATCATCCACTTCCTTAAACAGCTATCTGGCACGTGCAGTGCACGTGTTACGCAATTGCCTGTGAATGGTGAGATCGCAGGTATATCTTCATTGTCACTAGAAAGTTCGCTTTTCTCGCAACTCAAGTGATTGTTTAACTGTGGAAATAGCTAGATGATCTCACACGCCAGTTAGAAATGCCAGGTTGATTTTTTATTTCCTACAATGAATTTGATTACTACTCTTAAAAGGTCAGCAATGTCAGACCATTACTTTTTTGTTGCGTCCACCTTCATATTTAAATCCGGTGAGAACACATTATTCACATATTTGGACTGCACCCAACATAATAAATTCCTGGTTTAAAAAAAATATATATATATCTATTGTTGGCAAATTATTACTTAACTTTTACTTTTCCGTTCGTACAAAAAAAGTTAATGTTATTAATTTATAAATCAAACATTTGTTTCGAGATCGGGTGGCATAAACAAATTAAGGCACACGAATACATTTTAAAAGATTCCTTTCACAGCTGCCGGTGGCACTTCCGTTTGCAAATTATAACTCGATAAGATAACGTTTAATATTTTCCAAAAAGCCTCCAAAACCTGCCAGGGGGGGAGTGGGGCGGGTTGGGCAGGCAAGTAGTTTACCGAAAAGCCATTGTAATTTAATAACCTCACGTGAAACGCAGGTCTGCAACAAAGCAGCCTCTTTCATTGACTTGCTTCCGTGGCAATCTGTGTGCGTTAATAAAGGGCTGAGAGAGAGAGAGGGAACAAAAAAAAAGCGGGCTAGTTTTTTTTTTCCAGAATTTTTGCCATTCTCCCCAGCCCTGTTCCCACCACTGAGACTGCATTCAAATCTGATTTGGGCCGCCTCGTCTATCGGAGCGTACTTTATCTTTTTTTGCAAACCTCTCTGTTTCACCATTCAATCCCACATTCATCGGAAATAGCAGCATTGTAACAAAACCAAAAAAAGGGAACGGGAGAGGGAGGGGTCGTGTTAAAACAAAGTGTGCAGTGTTGTGGCACAGAGCGGGCACGGATGTGTGTGTGTGTGGGTAAGCTTTACGAGAAATAGACTTGATGTAGATTCGAGGTAGGCTGGCCACGGTTGGCGAGACCTCACCAGGTATAGAGGAGGTCGTGGGTTCCATCCCGACTGTATATTTGGAGTTTGAATGTCTCTCTCCCCGTGATAAGTGGATTTTTCTCCAGGTCCTCCGGTTTTTCCCGCTCATCATCACCTGAGTTTTGAAAGCATTTTTTAAATTAAAACACCTATTTATCATGCACTTGCATTCCTTTAAATATAGGACATAATATAGCACTGGTTATGCAATGGTAAGTGAATTACTAGAAGCAATGTTGTTCTCCACCAGAATGTTTTCTTCCTTTTGTAAGGTGTTTTATTTAGAGTTTTGTAAGGTGTTTTATTTAGAGTTTTGTAAGGTGTTTTGTTTAGAGTTTTGTAAGGTGTTTTATTTAGAGTTTTGTATGGTGTTTTATTTAGAGTTTTGTAAGGTGTTTTGTTTAGAGTTTTGTAAGGTGTTTTGTTTAGAGTATTTGATAGGACTATTCCTTACAACGCTTTAAGTACACTTTGTTTTACTAAAAGCACAGCTAAGCTCAGTTTCTTACCATTTGGAACCGCATGTATAGTAGTGAGGTTGAGCGTTCAGGAACCGATTGAGATGTAGAGATGTGTGTATATTTCGTTTAAAGCTTTCGTGACTGCAAGGATTCATCTTCTTTGGTTCTTTCGGTAAAGTCACGTAGAATGAGAATAAAATAATAAATTGATAAAATAAAATAACACAATAATATTCTCACGACGTTTCGGCCACAACAACTCCAGCGCTGTCCTCCAGACAGTCTCGTCCCTTCACCTGATGAAGGCCGCTTGTATTGTGGCCGAAACGTCGTGAGAATATTATTGTGTCATTTTATTTTATCAATTTATTATTTTATTCTCATTCTACGTGACTTTACCGAAAGAACCAAAGAAGATGTGTGTATATTGTCACTGACAGTCGTATATCCCAGCGACTGAAACAAACAACGGTTATTGTTATGCATTTGCCTTTCATTCCCTCTGTTTTCTTGGAATGGCGTCAGTGTTTGTTACGGGAGCTCAAACCAGAGTTCCGCGACTGATGAAACCCTGCGCTCTCGGGGGTAACTTCCCGCGTGGTTCAATTCTGAGCGGGGTCGAGGAAGGGCGAGCGGACGACAAAAACCGGGACGCGTCGGATAGACCGCGTCGATCTGCGTGTGCAGGCTGCGTGGAGGAGGAGGAGGAGGACGGAGGCCCTCGTCACGACCAGGCGACGGTGGCAGCTCTCTCCGTTGCCTTCCCGCCGGCGGCGTTCTCCACACGTGGTCTCTCGCGGCCCAGCACCCCGCCCTCCCCACTCCTGTGCAGGTACAACGGCAACAACCACAGCAACGACTGCCGTTTGCCACGGTGCTTGTGCCAGGCTACGTGCACCTTGAGGTAGCACCCACCCCGCACACATGCATCCCGCCCGTGGCGATGATGAGAACCGAAGCAAGTGGCTTTCCATGGCTACAAACTTCATTTTCAGATTGTGGTGCGTGACGTGTGAGAGTCAGGGTGGAGCAGAGCCCTTCATTGTGCAGGTGGGTTTCCACTGGCTATTTGTAGAACTAAGGAAGAGTTGCTCGTAGAAGAAGAGCTGATGCAAGCAGCGATGCGAAGGAAACTGGTACTATTTGGACACGTATGTCGGGTGAACAACAGGAACATTTTATATGTTTTGGAAAAATGGGAGGAACCGAAAATAGAGGAAGACTTAACAGAGAATGGCTTGACGACTGAAGAGATTGGTGGTTTAAAAGGGGTGTACTACTTGAGCATGAATGGCACAAGACAGAGAAAAGTGGAAACACATAACGAAATGTGCAGTGGACACCTACGGGCTATCTCCCCATGGATTGTGATGTTGATGATGATGATGATTTTCCGAACTGAGCCAGAACCAAACCCTAGCCCTCACAGAACACCTGAATACGGCTCGTGGTGGCCGAGCAGGGCCAGGGGGGCGGGGTTAATCGTATTGGTCATTGCGTGTGACGTCAGTCGGCGCGGCAACACACAACCTGGCGTCTGCTCAGCTGTGCCTGTCTGGCGAAGCGTGGCCCCCACTGGAGCTCGGTTGTGCAGTGGAGATTCGGCATTGGCCTTTGCTCCTTGTGGCAGGCAATGAGGGTGCTGCGGCGGAAAGATGTTAACCACCTCGCCTGTTGTACAGGTTGTGGGTTCGATGCCGAGTCTCATGCGTGTATATTTGGCGTTTGCATGTTCTCTCTCTCTCTCTCCGTGGTCGTGTGGATTTTTTCCCAGGTCCTCCGGTTTTTTTTCCCTCCACATTCAGAATAAATAAGTGTTTTAGAGTATTTGGCTGCTATACAATTCCACGTGATGAGCCACTTCGTTGAGCTATCATTTGTGGCCAGGTCGCTTCTGAAAAGAGCTATGTATATATATATCTCAGTGGGCCTTACCTGCTAAAATAAAAATAGTTTAATCCTTTAATTGAATGAGGTGGTACTCACTCATAACTTAGAGATCAGAGACGGGAATCCCACTTTCCCATTGAGCCAATTTCTCCACAATAACCACTGTTGACCTCCTATAAAGTGGCATGCATTGTTTGGACCCGTGAGGCACGATGCGTTGAATTGGCCCCATGACCAGAATTTGACTTTCGAACTAATCATTTTGAGTCACGCGCTCTGCAAACAGAACCGCCGGCTGAATGGCATCGTAAGAGGCTTAACTGAATAATTGAAATGTAATGGCAGTGGCTTTATCATCACGTGATGAAGCCACTTTGAAATTAATGTAGCGTTCCAGAAGGACCGGTCTAATGAGAGTGTAACACTGCTGCATTAAACATTCAAATCAAATCTTCAAATCATCAGTACACTTGGTATTCGCGGCATTTGTACAGCGCACGGCATTCACGAAGGTGGTACGTTGCACAGACGAGTATCGTCTGCGGTAATTTCACAATATGTGGGGAGGGAGCGGGGGGGTATGTTACTGTCTATCTCTTCACAACATCACGAAATGTCCACTGTGAAACAGACACTGCGTATTTTCTTGGTGATTACGAGCACTGCCCGCACATTTACTCGGGATACACATTCGGGTTGGAGGGTGGGTGGGGCCAGGGGCCAGGCGTGATGTCAGCACGATTGACGAACATGGCTCAACGCAGTGGGATGCGGGTGACCTGAGATCGCGCGGATGAGGGTCACCGCTGCACACGTGTACCTGCCCACGCGGCAGCCAGGAAAACAAAAATGTGTTTGTTTATAATCCTAGTATAACTTCCGCAGTATCAGCCAGGCGCGGCCACTGGTCTCGAACCACGAAGTTCTGCGACAGGCGAAAAACGCGCTTCCGCTCCGATGGGTCAATGCCCACATTGTCTCGGCATAGCAATTATATCAGTTCAGTCACCTTGCTCAATTAACCCACCGTTGATGCTCGTCTCAACCTGGTGCTATCGGCTGCTCGTGCACGCGGCATTTCATGCTGCCGGTGGAAGGGCCCTCATGAGAGAGAGAGCGTTCTAGAGCCCCTCCAGACAGTAATGTTCTGCTCTTCCACACGGGCCAAACGTTTTAGAAGAGGTGGGAGTAGCCACATTTTTACCCAAATACACATGCAACCTGCTGTGTGGACAGAGGCGTGGTGATTTTTAGACGCTTGCACCGTTGCTTCAGCTGTCACGCCAAGGCATTAAACACTTCCAGTGTCTAGAATGTATTTTTTTGTTTCAGGCATTCAAAGGTATGTCACGTGACCCCCCCCTCTTCCAAGAAATCAAAGTGCATTTTGTTATCATGGGAAGTTGTTGCTGCATAGGAAATCAGACTAATCACTGGCAATAGCGACTGATAATTACTACTGTAATAGCACAGAAATGTGTGTAACGCGCGTGACGTCACTCCACATGCCGCACCACGCGGAAGAAGATATTTGTCTTCGTAAAGTCGCTTCGAATGTGACGTTTCTTTACAGAAAGTGACGCAGCACAGTGCTACGTCCGTACGTGACGTCACTGCAAAAGAGGCCCCACCCCCCTCATGAATAATCATGAGCGGGTGGATTTTTTTAAACTCCCCCAGGTCAAGCAGAGAAAAAAAATATATGCAAATTTTCTTTAAATTTGACGTTTCTTTACCGAAATATTATTAAATAAATGATTATACGCAGCAAAAAAGTGCTTTTGCTGTCTTTATGTATTTCTTCAGGACTTGAAACAAAAGGTAAGTCTAATTTTTGCTTTAAAATTATAATATATATTTCTCCGTGATTTCCCAGATATTGTATCGAATTGATTTCAACCCCAGCGAGTGAAAGCATAAGAAAATAAAGTATCAGAGCAGTGATTTTTTTTACTAATTGAAGGTCATTTAAATACAGTGCTGCAGTGACATGAAGTGAGGTGTTGTATGACGTAGTTTTGTGCAAGAATCACTGCCATTAATACAGTGCTACAGTGAAATGCAGTGAAGTGTTTGATAATATCGTGTGCCGAGAAATCTTCCAAAGTCCTTAATTTCATTTTTATAGTTATGAAAAATGTATTTACGTGCAACAATTCCTAAGAAGATTTACAGTCGCACAATAACACGTAAATGTACATCTTTAATATTACACCTTCCGTCCTAGGACAGGCAATAGGCTAGTTATGAATAAAGGGACGGGTCCGACATTCATATCCGCCACTCAGAGGCTTCCTCAAAGTAAAATAGTGAAAATAATAATAATGAAATAATGTGCACAAGTATCTTGCACTGCAATTCAGTGAGCCTTGCTGGGGAATCAAATTTTATCCATAGAGAAGTAGCCACGTGGCCAGAGTGCTCCACTCACAGTGGAAAGGTTGTAAGTTTAAATTCCTCTTGGGGATCAACACAGCCCGCGATCCCTCTGGTGTTGCTGGCGTGAAGACACACTGGCCCCTTGCCATAGACACGTGGAATTGCAATCACTGACATTCAGAACCTGTAAAGGAATTAGGCATTGCTGCATGTTCAAATGAGACACTTTGAAATGTTACACAGTAAAAAAAATACAATAGTTAAATGTGTCGTTGTGTAGAATGTTAATAACCAAATAAATAGCGTCGAAATAAAGGAAGCCATTGGCCTGCACTGCCGTCTGGGAGTGCCCCCTATCAGCATTGGTTCGATGGAAGCGAATTATTGGCTGGTTTTGACATTCAGTGTAAAATCAGCAGTCAGGCTTGCTTGAGCCAATGCTAATTGATTGCCCGATGTTTTACAAAATGACCTACTCATCCAAATTACTACCTTCCTACATACACAACCTATGCACACACCCTACCGACACAACCTACCGACACAACCTACCGACACAACCTACCTTCGCTGAGTTGCTTGGACACTAGGAATATGCCACAAGTCACAGTGCGAAAATCTACGAAGTAAAATTCGAGCTTAGTCTTTATTTTCAACAGTTTGCATTTTTCATTGCCTCAGTAATTCCCCGGATCCCTTTGTGTTCCTGGCCAGTCGTTGCAAACGCATGTATGTGCGTATTTCAGTTCGCACCGGTACATGGACAACCGTGCAGCCGCACCACCTGCACCACCGAGTGTGCAGGCGGTGCAGCTGCACGAATGCCCACGGGACAAGGTGGCCCAGGTGCCGGGCTGCGAAGAGTGGGTGAGAAATTGTACGGGGGCGTGGGGGAGCATTTCATTCCTTGCACCGGGGTTCGTGCCAACCACGCTCTGCCGCTGTTCGGGGCTGTGCAGCGAGCAAAAATGACTCACGTGTTTACAGGGAGGGCAAGGAGTCTGCATATTATGCCCCGCGACATTGAAGGTGCAAAGCAGTGGCTGTGCAGCCTTCTGTAATAATTATTAGAGCCCCTGACCCTGACGACGATTCATGCAGTTACGATTCCACGATTCAAGCCCACGTGCGCAAATCTGCACACTTTTCCTGCCAGTCATTTCTTATTGTTGCATAGACGTGTCCTTCACAGACAGGCACACAAATACAAAGATCCCCCATTTCGCCTTTAACAGACTGTTGGGGCAAGTGCTGTTAGCGAGCACCTATGAAGGCTGGAATGGTACACGAGGGGGTGGGTGGCCAGCACCACGCCCGATCACCTTTGTCTACCAGTCAGGGGTCGGCAACCTATGGCTCGCGAGCCAAATGTGGCTCTTTTGATGACTGCATCTGGCTCGCAAATCAATCTTAGCTGACATTTCTTAACATGATAAGTAATGATTAATTCCGCTGACATTAAAGTAAAACATTACAGAAATCACAGTGTTAAAAATAACGTTTAAAATATAAAACATTCTCATGCATTTTAATCCATCCATCCATTTTCTACCGCTCCTGCTC